GACTGAGAGGGATATTTATGGCAACATTGTGGCGTTTTGTTAAACCAGAAACATGCAAAGTTTAAGAACATTCTCAGCTGATTCTCAGCAAACTGTATGTCATCAAGCGAGTTAATAGCATGATATATTTCGCATGTATATGAAGCTACACAGAAAGCGATTCGTACTCCGATTTTAACACTCCCCACTCCTCCTTCGGTGACTACCTACATGTGGCTGTCTACGTGCTAAAAATGTAGAAATCAGAAACCTATATGTAAATGCCACTAATGCTCCCACGCGTGAAAGGATTGAGACTGGTGCTCTCAAACAGGGTTACGCAGGGGATATGACCTGTGTCATCTGTGATCCCGTTGAACATCGAGCGAGTCACTCGAGCGGACGCCAGTAAGTCTTCCATTCTTTCCTGCTGCGAGCAAAACTAGCTTAGTGGGTTCTGCTCGATTTCGAGTCCCACTGAGCATCATACCTTTCTTCTTCGCTTTCCATGAAGAAATCTGACTACCGAATCGATGGTCTTCCTACAGTACGTCTAACACATCCAGAGGAAGCCAGTCATTTGTGAGTCTTATCTATCAGTTGTCTTTCATATGAATTAAATGTCCGACTCACCTTATCTTTGACATTTCGGCGTATAGAACAGCATGTTAAATTGCTGAAGAGGTGGGGGTTCGGGTTAGAGATTCGGATCTTTTCCTTACTTGTGTGACACGGAATACTCTTAGCATCGTCCTTTCGACTACCCCTTCATTAACGCTGAGTGATCTATGTTCCTGCTTTCGCAGCGGCCAGATTTCCGACGCATTTAGAGCAGGATGTATCGCAGATTCAAAATGAAGGCTCAGAGTCGGGTGTTCTTGGTTTTTTTTAATACATCCTCAGTGTTCTTGAAATCTTCGGAAGCTGCTCGTTTCCTTCTGCTCATCTGTGGAGCTAAGTCGTTCACCATGTTGATTTCCCGGTCTAGATAGACGTAACTGGAGCATTCAGAGGTACTCGCTCCGTTGAGCCTAAAAAGGAGATACGAAACCAATCCGTTCCTCATGAACATCGTTTTTGCGAGATTTAGCCGAAGACCAATGTTTCCACATGCTTTGTCAAAATCAGCAAGGATTAGTTCCGCTTGGCTAATATTTGGTGCTATAGGAATGATATGAGTAAAGCGAAAACCGTATAATTGCCGTCCATCGATTTTTACTCCCATGTTATCCTACTCCAATATTCGCGTGACGTTCTCGAGGATGGCGGCAAATAATTTTGACGAAACGGTGTCGCCTCGCCTAACCCCTCGTTTGACATACATGTTAATATCGTTGTACAATGATGATATCTTGGTGGTGATATATTTATACAGCTCGCAAAGAGCCTTTATACACCGAGTAGGGGCTTTCCTGGTTGCCTAGAGCTTTTATTTCTTCTTCTATCTCTACTGAGTCAAAAGCTTTCTTTAAATCGATGAAAGTGAGTGAGAGGTACTTTAATGAATCTTACTCTCGTGAGAATTCGTTCGATCGTATGGATCCCTTTCGAAGCCTTGCTTGTTCACGTGGTTGCCCTTTATTCGTTCTTCTGTCAGTTCTGTTTAGAAGGGCTTGAGCGGAGAGTTTGTAGATGACACACATTATGAAAATAACGTCGAATTGCGTAAGTCGGCTGTTGGGAAGGTGCCGTTGTCGATCACATTGGTGAAAAATACGATCGGCTCATTCAACATTTTCATGTTAGCGCCTTGAAAGCTTCGAATTCGAAAATCACCGGAAGACGCGTGATATAACCGAGATATCATTATTGTACAACGGTATTAACGTGGACGTCAAAGGAAGGGTTAAGTAAGGCGACATCATTCCGTCAAAATTATTTACCGCCACCCCCCAGAACATCATGCCAACATTGGAATGGGATAATATGGGAGTGAAAATCGATGGTCGGCAATTACACGATTTTCGCTTTGCTGATGATATCGTTCTTATAACACTAAATTATAGCCAAGCGGGACGAATGCAAGAAATGCTACAATGATTCTGTGCTCGGTAAAATATACCAACACAAATAAAACGGCTCGATTTTGACTCACACCGATCAATCTGTCTTCACCTATAAGTGAAAGTCTGGTGTTGTCGGACCCAAAATTTTAGAGCAGCATATGAGCAAAGATTAATGAGCTTTCGGAACTTTGTGATTCCTCAGGCGCTCACCTTGCTCGTTCCATTCTAATCCTGGGTGCCAATATGGCGTTCTTGAGGCGTTCTTCTTGGTCCAACCTTAGCGTTAGGATCTCCAATGATGACCCTTTGCTACTTAGGAGGTTACTAATGCCTCTGAGATTTTAGCAGGCTTTCGTACTCTTCTGGCCCAATGATACGGAATTGAAGGATATTTCGGGATCGAGAGAATGAGGCCCATTTATTTTACTGTGTTCAGCTTTTGGATAGCCACGTATAGCTTGCCGTTCTTTGAATGTGTGGGTTGGAAATACTCGCGTGTGGCTTGCCACCTATAAACAGTGGTTGTTTTTTCCTAGCACTTGCCTTTTTTATTGTTTTATTTTCTGTTTCGTGTACGTTGCTATACACTAAATACTGTTACAGCTGGAATGTCTATCAAACTGGCTATGGGTCGTTTGGTGGTGCTGGTGTCCAAGCTTTCAATTATTCTTCTAAGGTACAGTTCCTATAACACAGCAAAATAATCATCTAAAATAGTTGGTTTCACCATCACTTCATCACTTTAACGTGAGATTGGTAATAAAAGCACACAGCAAAACGGCAATGGGAAGCAATAAGTTGATTACTAAATACCTAACACCTAAAGGG